CCCTGTTGAGACCTCTATGCCTGGCCTGTATAAGTAGATTCAATCACTGAGGACATTCATTGTCAGATAGCTGAACTCACCAATACCGTGTTCATCCACAAAGGTTGCTTTATTCTGAACGTGAAGACAACAGGATAACAGCGATGAATGGTTACAGTATTATGCGGTCAAAAGATGATGCCTTTCCTAGGGTACTATGCAGAGTACATGTGTCCTATGGCAGCTTTGTTGCAGTAGGCTTGGCGAGTCTTCTGAAGATATCGCCACCAGAAATGGCATAGAACTTCATCCTGCAGTAAACAAATATAGAAAGAAAATGACGACAGGTAAAGCGACTTTAATCCCTTTCAATTTTCTTTGTACACATGCAAAAAAAAATGTACGTTTAAAGGCCTGAAAACGACTCAAAACCCCCAAAAACATTATAGAGGGAATTTATCAAAACTGGAGGAGACAAAATCTGGAGCAGCTGTGCACGGCAACCAATCAGCTTCTCTCTTTCATTTTCATAGCTTAACTGAACAAATTGGAGAAAAGCTGATTGGTTACTAAGGGCAACTGCTCCAGTATTGATCAACTCCCGCTATATATTTTATGAATGCAGAAACCCCGTAGAATAAAAAATGGTGTCAGGTGCAATTTTTTGTATATCACACCCATATTTTGAGTGAAAAATGCATTAAAATTATTTTCGTGCACAGAAACAAACATTGTACTACCCATTTTTTTGGGGTAATGTATAACAGTTAAGGTTGCATCGAGTAAATAGATACAAAAAAAAAAATTGCACCTGGCAGTAAAACAGTGAAAACGTACAATACCCAAAATAGTCCAGGAGACACACTTTAAACTGCCTTTAAGGCCTCGTTCGCACCATCCTCAGTGTGTTCCGGGCCGATTGTGGCCGGAACGCACTGGACCGAATTGTAGCCGGCTCAGTGTGTTGTGGGGCGGGAGGGGGCGTATCGGTCCATTGAAGTGAATGGCACCGTAGCCGCGCACTCCGGCCGCAATGCGATTGGTCGCACAAGGCACATCAATGCCTGCAGTCCGGTCCGAACAAAATGCTGCAAGTACTATTTTTTCTGACCGGACCGCAGGCATTGATGTGCCTTGCGTTCCCGTGCGGCCAATCGCATTGCAGTATGTGTTTTACGCGGGGGAAGGGGCTTTAATAAAAATGTCTGAGCTTTTTACATTTAATTTTAATTACACTTTATCACATTTCTTTAAACTTTTTTTTTTCTTTTACTTAAAACAGAAGTCTGGGGTAAGTGTTTTTCCCCATAGTTCTCTTAAGGGTCATGGGAGGACATATACTAGCCTCCTCCCGTGACCCAAAGCTCAGTATATATTGCTAGCAATATACGGAGAGCGCCGCAGCCGGGACAGATCCCGACAATACTGTCTGGATCCACCCAGCTGTGTGAGTGGCAGCGGGCTCTGCCCATCTAGAGGCAGAGCCAGCTGTTCCCACCCCCTCCCCGGTTCGTTCCTCCACTCAGCGCTGGAGGATCGGAGAGGGGGGAATCCCAGCAAGGAGCGGTGACTTATAGTAACGGCTCTCTGCAGGGAGCAGATTGGGAAGTGAGATTCTGCTCACTTCCCGATCAATAGAGCAAACCTGTGACATCTTCTTTGTCACACGTCGACTCGAACTATGAGAATGAGTGGAAATCACTCACCTCATAGTTCTCCTTTAATGTCATGATTATCACAAGGGGGCTGATAAACCCCCTATATAAGACATGACAGGTTCTGTTAGACCCCTTTGAAGCTATTCAAGCACAGATCATGCAAGGCTATATGGAGCCATCCTTGTGTGTGCTAGTTTACACAAACACACAGGCACAGAAAGGCAAGCCTCTCCCCTACTACTCCTTCCTCCCTTCTCCAAGCTAGTAGATGGAGAGCTGCAGGAGACTGCTCTGTCCCTTGCGATCTTGCACTCAACTGGAAGTTTATGGAAGTGAAACTGAGGGAGTTGGAGCTGTTTGGAAACATGATGACTGTAAATGCTTGGGCGAAAATGTAAAGAAACTCTTTGCTGGGCAATGTTATAGATCTGGATTCATTATTGTAAAAAAAAAAAAAAAAAAAAAAAAAAAAAAA